AAACAGAGTAGCGGTGCTGTTTCTCCAGCCATTAATATTACATACATGGGCTGCTTAATTTGCTGTTCCTCGCAGAGCTGGAGCAGGAAGCCTGCATAATGAAGGATTTGTTGACAGGGGTCTTCATATCAAATCAGCAAAAAGGTAGAAAATGATCCAGTTTCAGGCATACTTGTTTGACTCACGTAATCCTGGTCCTTCCATGGCTCTGGATTTTGGACACGATGCACCAAGTCCTTGGTTCTTCTCAGGCCACTTTTCCTGCCACTTTTGAGGTTTACCTATTAAAACTTTCACCAAGAAGCCAAACAGCACAATGATGATCACTAATTTAACAGCAAGGCGACATTAGTTAAGCACGAGGACAGTGGCTGCTGGAAACCAAACCCCCATTCAGAATGGTGCTTAATCATACGCCTGCTGTTAAGTGCATAGGCAGCAACTCCTGTCGGTTTTCAAGCAGTGAGAAACAAACTGGAAGCAGAACACAAGTCCTCTTCCTCAGCACTTTTCAGGGGCTATCCTAACTTGTGTTGGTCCCTTGAGGCAGCTCATTCTGGGGCCAGACATGGCAGTGAATGATGAGTCCTGTAACCCTGCAACTCGCCTGCACGTCACAAGCCTCTCCTGCTTCAAACTGCAATGTCTTGTGTACTCCTGATAGTGTGGGCTGTAATATAGACATACTATATCTAGATATATCTATATTATATATAGATATATATATAAAATACTGTGTGCAGTAATACAGAACTGATTTTATATGGCAGGCATTGGACTGTAGGCAACAAGATGTGTTGCTGCAGAGCTCTAATAGTGTGCATGGATAGGACATGGTATTACAATAAACATGTATGTGACAGAGTTCCTGGGCTTTCAAGGACTGAATAAATTCATCTGAGAGGTTTGGTTTTATTTAAATCCTTGAGGCATTTTCTAAGGCAACATTTGGCAGCAATAGCTCCTTGCCTGAGCTAATTCCTCAGTGATGCTTACTGGACTTTGCTTGATCCATACATACGAGAGTCCAACCAACACTTGCTCCTAAGAAGTGACACACATGAAAGGCTCTTCTGAGTTGCAGCACATGAGTCCTTCAGCTCTCGCTAAGGATCTTCCACAGAGCAGCAGCCCCACAGACACAGGGGAATGAGAGCAGGCAGTCTTGGAGGAGCTGAACATACACAGAGATGAACTGAAGTGTCTCCAGTGTGCTCATTTCATTTACATCTCATTCATTATTGAAATGAGGTGTGAAAGTAGTTTCTAGAGCTACTTAGTGCAGGCTGCACATCAATTTAATACCTCTTCTGGTTTTTTAAGTCACTTACCTCCATAGAGCTCTTGTTTCAAACCAGTTATTTAGGTGCTTTGCTCAGACTTTGAGTTCATAAGTGTATTAATGCATCTTAGTCTAAACCACTCTATATTTAAGACTGCTGAAGGAAGACAGTAAAGAACCAGCTTGCCTGATTTATAGGACCATCAAGTTGCTACTCAAAAACACCAAACTGCATCAGACACATTATCTTTTGTTAACATGCCTGTGTCAGCCTACTGGTCTAGCTACTCAAACATGAAAATAAGGAGGCAACTGGAAAAAAAGAAAGAAGTAATTAATAACACTCACAGGAGACTGCTTGCTATCAGCTGGGCTCTTTATCAGGCTTAAGAGATTGCCAATGGGAACCACTGCTGCAAAATGTTATGTGTATACAGCATCTAAACACCATCACAGCTTTTATGATGGGGAACTGAATTTAGCCCCCTGCATTTGCCAAATGGGATTCTCACCTGGTTGCCTGAAACACAAGCTTTCCCCCTTGAGATGCTCCACGGTGCAGAAGCTCTCACTTAAAAGTCTGGGCCCTGTGCTGTTAGAAAGTGAATATCCACAAACACACACCCACCAATAGATAAATAGATATATGCAGACAAAAATCTCTACAGGAACTTGATTTGTTCTGCTATTAGCAGATTAATTAAGAGTGTTTGCCTGCATACAGATGGCCACAATCCACTCTGGCCTCTCCTGGAGCAGAGCTCAGGATCCCGTCAGCGCCTGTGATACTTTAAAGGGGGATGGGGGCAGTGATGTCCATAGATTTCCTATGTTACTTTGGGCAAATCATTTAACCTTGGTGTTCTCCGTGTCAATAAGGAATCCACCTTGCTCAGAGCACTTTGAGATCTATGGACAGAGAGCACTCTAAATATGTGGTATTATTTATAGCATTGCCCTATGGATAATAGCAAGCTACAGCTGTTAGAGACAGCAGGGACCTCTGAGCAAGCGGAACGGCATAAATCTGAATGTCAGTATCCTTAGCATTGTAGCTGGCGGCTGTTTTGTCCTGGGAGAGCATTGCAGTGGTTTGTGCTACCAGATGAACTTGCTGTTCGTTCTTCACGTTCCCCAGAGGCGGCTAACGCAGAAATCTGGATTTACCACAGCAGCTCGTTGGTAAAGCAATTCTGACAGTCTGCTCCCAGAGTGGCTTGTACCTGCTCCTTCCGAAGGAGAAAGATTGGCCACGCAGCGATGCTTTTGCAAGGCAATCTTGCATGCATGCACACATCTGATCCGCACAGGCTGCTAGCTGAGATTTGGCCACTTTCACCCTGAGCTCCTTATTACTAAAGGTGAGTCCCTGTGGACGCAGTGTAGTGATGTGCGAAAAGCACCCAAAATAGCTCCAAAACTGGAGGCAAGACAGTGGGCTAGAACGCTGCTGGACCTGCTGGGAGGCAGCAGAGCTTTGTTAGGGAACCAAAGCTTCTTCCCTCACCTGAGCGCTCATGCAGAGCAAGTCTGGGCCCTGCACTGTGCTGTCCTCACTGCTGCGCTTTGTCCTGGCATTGCACTGGGTGATCCCGGCCTCGGTGGGAGGTGCTGCAAGAAAGCAAAGACCAACTGATGCACAGGTATTCATCTCCAAAGCCTTGGGCACATTTGCCCTGTTTACATCAACTTACTCTTCGAGCACTGTCATTTAGCTAAATGCGGCTCTTCCCCATCGCACCAAAATCAGAAACTCGCATATCAGGCTTTCAAGCTAGAAATAGGCATGTGGATTTATTTGCAAATAGTTCCAAATTTTGGAAGGGTGGCGTGGTGCAGATACATTTGTAGCATAACACGTTGTTGATTTGATATCTTCTCCCCCCCCCGACATTGCACGACGTAAAACTTGGTGACTAGTTTGTGCCAAGAGCCTTAATTCACCGCTCCATCAAAGTCTCCATATTGGTGCCAGTCTCTTTTAGGGTAAATGTTCTGACAGTGAAAGGAGAGAGGCGTTCAGAGTAGGAAAAAAGATGAAGCCACTAAAATGCAAATTTTATTCACAGTTGGCATGTTTATAAATATATATATATTACATTCTTACAATCTACAGTACATTCTAAATATAGAGGGATTCAATCTAAGTGTTTGTGGGAGGGAGGGTGTGTATTAAACTGAGCAACCTAGATTCAATGACAGAAAGAGACTTAATAATAAAAAGAGGGCAAGGTCTCACTCTGGAAAATGAAGGATAATTTGAAATAAAAGCTGGATTTTATTAGTGCTTTGACACTTTGCCACTGGTCATTGGAGACTGCTTTTGGACCTCACAAAAAACTGTCATGGTTTTAGGGCTGGAGGGCACAGCGGATTCAAAGGGTAATCACTGAAATCCTACCATATGTACATCCTTATCAGAGGACAACAAAAGATAATCATCACCTCTGGGAGAAACAAATGTTATCTACCAGTCGAGCTGCTCAAGTCTCACTGCTGAATGTGCAGCGCTCCTCCGTGACCCACGAGTGCCCTCCAAACGTGCGAGCAGGGGTCTGGAGGAGCACGGGCAGGAGGAACCGAACAACCTGGCCTCTCCTGGGGAAGGGGACGGGCAAAGGGGCAGTTGTGGTGGGTGTCTGCGTTCAGCACAAGCCACACTTACCCAGGGGAGAGGGGCCGGCTTTGGTAAACGGCAGCGTGTAAAGCGAGCACCAGCGTGGTACCAACAGCGCCTGTGCTTGGCGAGAGCACAGCGAGGAGAAGCGAGTGTGCGGGGAAGGGAAGGAAGAAACCACATGGTCCCAAAGTTGACCGGTGCTAGGACGTACCCTCAGGATACCCGATGGGAAAACGGCTGGGAATACAAATTTGAAACAGGACAAGCAAATAAAGTGGGCTTTTAAAAACAGCTTGTTCTCTCAGGCTTTCCAAAAGACCTTCCTCCATATGAGTGATATTCGGAGTAGCGATTATATCTCCTCCTATTTTACAAATTAAGAAATACCGAAAATCGGCTGGCAAAGTTTATTACCTTGGCATCTACTAAAAAAAGAGTTTCAGTTTGAGCTGTGTATGTGTATCCATTAGCAGTGTTTGGGAGGCAAACACGCTGCTTTGTAAACAGCCCAGCTCCTCCTTTTTCCCCTCCAGAATCTTTGGAAACTCGTGACTTTTCAGCTCTGGGAACTGCTTTGCTCACTCTGTTGTATTTTTTTTTGTCAGCTTTAAATTAATGTTCTCGGATGGATATTCTCTGCATGTGGCTCCAATGACACGCTCTCTCCGTGGATCTATTTATTCTGAGACCAATTTTTTGCTTTTAACCAAAGCTTGCAATATCGAACAGTAGAGCTGTGTGAACTTTGTAATAGCCAAACTGCACTGGAGTTTGTTTTATTTATTGATTTCCTGGGAAAGCTCAGAGAATGAGACCGCACTATTTGGCTAAGGTTTTTTTTTCATGTTACCATGCATCAAAAACCCACACGCATCTCTCACTTCCAGCTCTGAGCACAGAGAAGACTTTGAATTTTAAGAGCTGTCCAGGATCTCTGCTCTTCCAGCTGCTTTTGGGTGGCTTCTTGGGGCTCCATTGAGTTATCGACCACCAGCTGATTCTTGTTATCAATACAACAATTTGCCCCACTACCCAAAATTAAAGGCAGAAGGTGAGTGAAAAACAAACGCATGAACAAACCAAAAAGTCTTTTGTGTCTCACTGCACATTTTCATGTAACCTCTCCATATAGTTTTTAAGCTCTTTGCACTCCCCCAGGTCCATGTCCTGGCAGACCCATTTAATGTCATCCTCACTACTCATCAAGATTGAGTTGACAGTTGGGCACCCATCATCCGAGGAGATGGTGGTAAAGGTGGTGAATTTAACCCGTTTCCTCTTAGAGGTAGGAGAAGCAGTTGGTTCACTTTTCAGTTCTTTCCCTTCAGTGAATGTGGTCTCAGTCGACCTGAAAGATTGTCCATTGGTATTTTTGGCGGCATTTGTGTTGAGGAGATATTTGCTCTCTTCATAGTCCACTCCTCTGTCAATGGCTGTGATACGTTCATCTTGTTGGGATGAGAAATTGATGTGATTCTCCAGAAGTTCTGTCCTGTTGCTCAGCCCAACCCAGTCATGAGAGTGGCTCAGGCCTTCTTGCTCTTCAAAGGGAACTTGTTTGTTCCTGTACTTCAAAGCAAAAGTGACACAATTGATGAGGAAGACCAGAATTGCCAGGCAAAAGACTCCCAGAAGAGCATACATCCCTATCTCCAGATCGCTGAGTCCCCTAGGGCTCTGGACTAGGTCATTCTCCTCTAAGTCTCCGTTGCTTCTTGGCAGATCCACCTGCGCAGGGAAGCTGGTGAAGTCTATCGGGATGTTCTGCAGGTGGCTGTCGTCATCCAGGAGGCTTTCCCTGTCTTCTTTTTTACTCAAAATAGACCTCTGAGTGGTGGTCCCTTTGCCTTGCTCGTGGCCCATTGAGGAGCTGTAATACTGGCCATCCAGCCCAGCTCTTTCCTGCAGGGTGGTTTTCTGACGCCGGTCACTGGTGTGGTTTTCTAGGTGGACACCAGCACCCCTGTGTTTACTGTCACTGATGTTAGGGTTGGCATCGCTCTGCCCAAACTTGACTTTAATGCTCCCACTCCCAACAGCGAGGATGCTCTTTCTTTTGGATTTCTGGCACGATTCACTGATCACCATCTCTACCTTCACCAGCGTCCCCTGGCCTTCTGTTTCAGCAGCAATCACAGGCCACTTGAATATGGGGTCGTGGTGAATGGAGACTACCTTCTCATCCAGAGATGTGGCTGACAAAGAGAAGTCTTTGGAGTCATAAATATCCAGGGGCATGACAGATCCATCACTAAACTGGATCCAGCAGCTGATGGCTGCTTCCTATAATACAAAAGACCAAATATATGCACACTTAGAATGAACATTGAGGGAAATATGTTCTGTCCTGGTCTATTCTCTCCTCCTCACAAGATCCACATACCATTTATAACCAGAAAAGAAATAAAAAGGGAGAGCAATAAAATTAATATCTTGCCAAGATATGGAGAGAAATACTGGTTTAAAACACTCACTGATAATAAGATTTGTTTCCCCAAAGGTGCTTAAAGGAGCTGCATCCCCTGGGTTCTGCAGAATCTACTTCAGCACCATAATAAATTGCATGTCAGAAAGCATTACCAGCAACTGAGATCATTTACTGTTGTATATTTAAATGATAAAAAAATATCACATTCTTTCTAAACTGCTTAAAATACAAAGTCTCCTCTTGTTACGCACAACACACGTTAAAAAATACCTAATATAGCAAGTGGGTCCACACAGGGCTCCAAACCTTCAGCCCCTGATTTTTGTCCCTCAGATTAAATCAGTGTTTTGCAGAGGAAACGGATCAGTTGTTTCTTTAGGAAATGGCCAGGGTAATTTTCATGCTTGTTAGCAATTAAAAGCAAGACAATAATGAAGTTTAATCTTGTGTCAAAGCAATGCAGATTGCGTACTGCAGAGTGCACGGAGGTTTACTGAATGCAAATGAGCCCAACCTGATCCTGTACTTGTGCATCTCTATTGGTGCTGCATTCCTGGGAACCTTGACTTTCGGTTTCTAACTTGGAACATTTTAAAGCATTCACAGATTTCATCCATTTCTGAAAATCGGGTCCTGTAAGGACTCTCAAATGGCTATTGAACGTTGCCGTGCTACCTGAAAAAATCCTGGCATTCACAGAGAAATCATTTACAGACAAAATTCAGATTGCTCTCCTGGAAGCTAATTCCTGTTTCTGATGGCCTGACTTGCTGTGTTTTGGCTGGGATATTTGCATGTTATTAGGCACTGGAGGACCCACATCAAGACTCTTGACTTCATGAGGGGATTCTTTGGCGTCTAAAATGATGTGAGCTCTTAGCTGGTAAGAATTGGAGTCACCTTGCTCTAAGGAAGAGCCTGACAGATAAACACCCAATCAATGGGTGAATGACTGTACTTGCTGAAAGTGTGATTATAAAAGTCTCATTTCTTTACACAAGCAGTTTTCCAGACTGTACATGCATTCCAACTCAACACATATACAGAGAATAAATATTTACCATTGTATTTTAAATTGTTCGTAGCTCATAGTCATTCACCTGCTCAGATCACAGAGCATAAGCCTCCAGTCTTTTGGGGTTGTATCGTGCCTAATCTAGTGGCCTGGTTCTGAAATTGTTGCAGCCATAAAGCTCCTCGTGCTTCAATGGGAGATTTGCTTCTGTCTCTATTTCAGGACAGAGCCCTAAGACTTTGCTGACACTGTCATAAATCCTGGCTTTGTGTTTATTAATCTTTGGATATTTCTTGAAGGCTGCATAGAATTTATGTCATCAACTTTCATCCTCCCACTGTGTTGCTTAAACCTGCATAATCATTTAATAATTTTTTTTGCCTTGCTTTGCTTATGGGGATTGTGCTCTGAAAATCCTGCACTAAGCAATGGAAGGAATCAGATGCCTTCAAACACAGTCAGTCCTTGGAGGGTGCACATTTTCCTCGCTGGTTTAGTACAGATCCAGTGTTTTTGCATCCAGAGGGGGACTCATCCAGACTTCAGTTCTGGGAACCGAAATGTCAGTGCTGGGCAGCATACTGGGGCTAAATGCCATCAACCCCAGCTTTTGGGCTGATTTCAAAGTCGTTTGTTTAACTCCCCATGTCGGCAATGGATTAGCCCACTGGCCTTATTTCGAGCAGCCTGGCATTGATTTCTTAGCTCCTGGAATACTGTGGGAGCCTGATTTTTATCACCCTATAAAGACAGCAGTTCTGCATTATTTCTCATCCTGCATCCCAAGGATAAGACCCTATGATGAATTAAAGCGTCTCAACAGTTGGCCAGATTTCAAACGTGCATGCCATGATCATTTACTTTTAAAGCTCAGAACATGTTTAAGCATTAAGAGCCCAGTGTATCCTTGATGTAAGTCCCAGACTGATGGATTTGGGTTGAAAAAAACGTTTAAATTTCTAATGTAGACAGAAGCACAAGGACAAATATCAAGCAGGGTCTAACAGGGACATGACAAAATCCAAAAGCCCTTGATAACTGTTGGTTCCCTAACACAGGCACTAAGAATAACAGGGGAACAAAAATGGTTTATGAAATGATGAATAAGGAAATGAGTCAGTGATGCTGATTCATTTCTAGTAAGGAATCAGAAGGAAAGGGATTGACACGCTCACAAAAAGTAACTAACAGAAGAAGAGTTTGGCGCTGTGCAAAACACCTTTGCATTTAAAGATGTGCTTAAAGGGTTGATTTGATTGCCTGTGGTGGGATGCTGACCTTGGCAATCTGGCTGGCAATATCTCCTCTCATCTAGCAGGTGCTGGATGGGACAGAAAGAGGGGGAGTGTTGCTTAATTATGATACATCGAGTTGCATGTGTTATTTATGGGGTTCAGCCACGACAGATGAGGGTGCCCATTTGTTGACTAGGGTTGTGTAGACATAGTGCCATTTTTGCAAGGTCTTTGTTTTTCTCTTAGGGCATCTGGTGGCCTTCTGAAAGAAGTGCCCATAAGGAAAACCTTTGATAAGAACAAAAAGAAGTAAAATCTCCTTGACTGCATCAGCTTGTAATGTCAGGTATAGTGAATAAGAGAGGTGTACTTCCACAGCACAGTACACGTGGGCACTGGTACCTGCTTCGGAGACTGGAGCAGCTCTTGTGCCACTGCTGTAGCAAAGATGGCCTTATTGCTTCCTGGGCTGAGCTGCAGAGAGAGCGACAACCCCGTCACCAGCTGCACTCCCAGGTCAGTTATTGTCACCTTCTCATCCAGGACTGTCACCGTCTTCTCGGCCAAGATAGCATCTGAAAGGGGGGACAATATCTGGAAAGAAAAACCGAAGTTAGCAACAGCCGTTTTGCACAGCACCAAAACAGGGACACAGAGCTACTGCAACACAGGTAAGTGATATTTATGTCAATGGGCAGAATTATACTTAGCTGACAGACACCATTACAATATGGTTAGGAAATGGCTGGTCACATTTTATAAATCTCCCACAATGATAGGGTGCTTCTAACGTCTTTTACCCATGTAATTCTGATCAGCTATGCCATTCAGCTCTGCAATGTGCTAACCGCATCTGTTTTAGATGTATTAACTATTTGGGAATGTAATCTTGATGTGAAATGCAATTATTTTATTAATGATCATGTTTTTAGCAAGCATATAAATAATGCAATCTGTACATTTATATACAATCCATAGAATAAAATACATTTGTTTCTATCCAACAGAGAGAAAGGCTAATGTACTGCTGCAATAAACACTCATGGTACTGGATACAAAATTGACAGATAAAACTAGTTCTGAATTAAAAAATGTTCATGGAGGTCAGTGGACTGATATGCGACATCCAAAGACGCCCATTAGCAAACAAGTTGAATTTAATGATCCATATAGGGTACAGAACATTTTTGAAGCCGTTTACAAGACGTATTCTCTAAATATAACTTGCTCTCGGCTTTTTCCCCTTGCTTTTCTTTCCCCAGTTTAATGTGCACTTGTAGGAGCATTGAACGTTCCAGAGCTTTTGAAAGTCGTTCAGAAAACCTTTACAGATTTTGCAGAAAGTCAAAAGCCTTGAATCTCATCTCTCCAGCCCTGACAACCCGCGTTATCGACAGGTGTGGTTGCTGTTTTCTGGTTTGACAGGTTGGGATGATGAGCATCTTTGGAGAGGTAGATTTGTTTCCTGTTCCAGTGCTTGTTAGCGTGTTTCTACTTTGTAGGATTAATCTCGGTTTTTTCCCTCTTCTGGGACTGTGTTTTCTAGGCCAGGATTTATCTGCACAGCAGGAAGAGCTATACATGAAAAGCTGCCAATACCATGATGCATAGGTTTAGGTGAGTTACTTCAGAGCAGGGACACGAAGGCACAGCCACACATACAGTGGTATTTATAGGCCATATTCTTGGCTATATTAGCTGAAACTGCCGAAACTGCCCCATGGAGGACACAGCTTGGTTGTCACTGATCAGGCCATCTTGTACCATCATTCTAGAAGTACCTATTGTCATTATTGCTTTGTGCATATTCTGGAATGGACCCCAGCATGTGTATTTTGTAACACACTGCTTGAGCTTGCAAGATGTGCAGGGATTCGATCCCACAGGACTCGCATCCCAGCCTCAGCTCCTCAACCAGCACTGGTGAATTCTTGCTTTACCCTTTGCTGTCAACGCAGGCTTTGAGAAGACTGAGCTGTTTCACCAGCTGCATGTCTGCGATATCCCATACGCTGGCTCTGGGTTCAAATCTAGCCTTAGACAAAAATAATCAGAAACAGGTTGGGCTAAATTTGCTAAAATTACAACCTATATACTTCAGAGCACAAGTTAAGAAGAGAAAAGCATATCTTCTGTGTTTTCCAGCCCTCGATGCAACTCTGCTCCATTCAAAAATTTATGGCTTCAATTTCTGTTGCTAATGCAAGAAGCTGCTGCACACCTGATGAGTGCTTCAGTCCCTGAGGTGGTGGGTTAATGGAGGAAAAGGAATAAGTAGTTAACTTTCCCT